GTGGGATGTTTGCGCGAGCAGTGGAGTGGACAACTCACTGCGAACAGAAATTAATTTCACCACAATCTTGCACCGCATAGACAACCGGAACCTACTGTTTGGAGACCACGCTGGCTAACATGCCCAGAGAGGCTCTCAATCGTGCGTGGTTCCTGCAGGGGGCGACGTTGCCGATGGGCGCGGGGGTAAACACAGAACTGGAGCGGGTCGTGGGATCTCACCTCAAGCAGTTGCTCAAGCAGGGAACGGTGAAACCGATGTAGAGTGGCACAACCGGTCCCCCCAGGCAGCCCGAGACATTTCTCACGACCCGAGGACATGTCATCTTCGCCGCATGGTAGCAGGTGGCAGTATATAATCATGCAGCTGGTCTTTTGACACACGTGAGGGAGCACGGAAGCATGTTGCACGCCAGGCCAGAATGGAACCATATATATATATATATATGTGCATATATATAAATATGTACATTGATTAATGGGTGTGTGCGTGTTTGGTTGTTTGTCTGTTTGTTTGTATGTAGATGTGTGTGTGTTTATGTATGATTTTATGTGTATGCGCGTTTGTATGTATGTGTACATGCATGCACATATGTATGTATACATGCATGCATGTATGTATGTGTGAATGTGTGTATGTACGTAATGTATGTCTGTCTGTCAGTCTGTCTGCTTGTTTGTATGTCTGTACGTATGTACGTATGTATGTATGTAGGTATGTATGCATGCATGCATACATGCATGTATGTATGTATGTATGTATGTATGTATGTATGTATGTATGTATGTATGTGTATGTATGTATGTATGTATGTGTGTATGTATGTATGTATGTATGTATGTATGTATGTATGTATGTATGCATGCATGCATGTATGTATGTATGTATGTATGTATGTGTACGTTTGTATGCTTGTATGTATGAATGTGTGTATGTATGTATGCATGCTGTTTCTCTTGGATCCGGCGCATCCCCCCCCCAGAATGGCAGCTAAGGGGCACACCCAACCATCTCGCATCAAATACATGTGTGGCGGGGGTTTTCCCCGTCGACTGGGCATCGCTCGCGGCCGTCAATCGCATGCGTTCGCCTCAGGCTGAGGCGGTGGATTGCTCCAGAGGTTCCCCGAATCTGTCCCTGAGTATCGTCGATCGTCTGGAAGGAGGCCTAACATCCATACAGTGCGCACGGGCGCATGAGCTTTGCGGTCAGCTGCTGAGGAGAGACTGGTGGCCCCTACTGAGTGCCTACCTACCTCCTCCCCCTCCTCCCTCTTCTTCTTTCCCCCCGCTCCTTTCCCCCTCTCGCCGGCGCCGCGAGGAGGCGGAGGAGACACACCAGAAGCTGTAAAGCACCCTAAAATAGTCCTCTCTCGTCATCCGATTGTGCCCCTCCTCTCGCTCCATCCTCCCTCCCTTCCCCGTGCTCCCTATCCTCCTCCATTTCCCTTCTTCGAAATACCCTAGAATTCCACCAAACACCACAGAAAACCAAACAATCCTCCCCCTCCCTTCCTCACTTTCTCCTCCCGCCCTCATCTCATCCTCTCCTTCCCTCCCTTCCTTCCTCCTCGCCCCATCCACCCTGCTCCCCTTTGGTGCCGCGAGGAGAAGGAGGAGCCCCGGGACTCCTTCTTCAGGAGCCCACGCGCGCGCGTTCTCTCTAGGGTCCGTTACACGTTTTGGTGTTGTTTGTTCTTTGTTGTTTTGATTGTTCGTTATGAATACAGATACGGTCAGCATAGAGGACTGCCTCTCAGAGGCCTGATGACATTATTCAGTGCCTGCGGCATGGTGGACCAGATGTGGTCCCAGATTTGTTTTCAAGGTGTCCAATGAGAATATGAGGGCGTTGTCTTGCAGACTGCTTCCATGATCGCCGCTGGTGTAATGTCTCTGCAATTGGTGTTGGTGTATGTACATTTGCATGCGAAGCTGAGTATCAACAGAGAGGTTAGTTCTTGCTTTCGGCTTGAATTCTGCTTCGGCTGTCGTTTCAGCTTTCACTGTAGTCCCAGCGCCGAAGACAGCATCAGCGCCAGGTAAAGTTCAGGGTGGTGGTTCGGTATGGGTTGGGGTAGCGTGTGTGTGTGTGTGCGCGTGTGTGTGTGTGTGTGTGTGTGCTGTTGGACCGTACACCTTACACGCTCTCGCATTGCTCCAGTGCGCGGCTGCCGCCTTTGCTGTCTGTCTGCTCCTGTGTCGTGTCTCCGCCACTTGGTTTTCGCTTCTGCCGTGTTGGCCGCATTGCGCCTCTACTTCCGCGTTTCTTTCACTGCAGGCCTCGCCAAAAATTGCGAACACGCATGCCACATTCATCTGTCAACGCCTTCCCCTCCCCACAATGTTCAAAGTTGGCGGTGGGTCTGATGAGTTGCACTTCGACCGCAGTCTCGCCCGCGCGTGCCAACTCTTGAGTTCGGGGGGATGGGGAGTGTCCACTACTTGTTTACCTCTACCACGTTGCTTGATTGTCCACCCTCCCCACCCCCGCTGCCCATGCCCGTATGCGGATGGCGTGGTCGAGCCCTCTGGGTCCTTGCCCCGCTTCCTGAGGGGCCGGCCAGCCGACGTGCTTCGCCTCGTCGCTGCGCGCGAGGCCGTGGCCGCCAAAGTGCGCGTGTGGATGCGCGCGCCAGCGCTCCGCGTGGCCCGAGCGCGGCAGACGCGCTGCACTTGCCACCCTAGCGAGGCCCCGCACAGCCGTGGTCTTGGGATGCAACTCCTGGGAGGTCAAATTCTGATTTTGCACTGGTCCGAAGTCCGGCTTAATCCTGTTCAATCCCGCTTAATCTTGCTTAATCCGAGGCCCACTCCGGCGTAATAGCTCCGAACTGGGGCTTAATCCTCCTCAATCTTTCCGACGAAAACTTCCCAGTAGTTGTCTCCCAAGTCTTCGCTTGTCCACCGCCTGCGCTTGGCGCGCCTCCTTGCCAACCATCCGCTCCTTGGTCGGCTGCGCCTGCACTGCCCTCACTCCGCCTCTGTGGGCTTCTCCCGCCCTCCTGCAGGTCCCGCGTCCGCCTGCTGCGCGCTCGTACTGGCCTCCTCGTTGCGGCAAGCATCGCTGCCTCCGTCTCGTCCTTGCGACTGTTCCTCCCAGGGCCCCTGTCTGCTTGCATCCTCGTCCTTTCGCGCCCCACCGCTGTGGGTCGCCGGCGTGCTTCGTCCTTGTCGCATGCATTGCGCAGCGCTCTAATCTTCAGCTTCAGTAGATGGATAATATATTCGAACCCTTACACGTTCGAGGGAGATTCTTAAGCACCCCAACGCCCCCGACATCAATGTTGATCTCAGTAAAGGCGGCGCTTTGGGGGTCGAATATTTCTGTCCACTCACGCCTCCCCCCGTCGTCACGCCATCACTATTCATTTCTGGGGGTCTGGGGGGCATCTTGGGCCACAGGGTTCGAATATAATGTCCATGTACGGTCCCCGTCTCAAGCATACATTGCCAGATGCCATGCACAGCAGAACAGATGCAGATACCACATGCCATGTCATGCCATGCCGTCTCAGCTAATCGGCAGAACAGATGCCGCGCACAGCATGGCATCTGTTCTGCCGATTAGCGAGCCCGACTGCTCTCAAGGGGCACGGGCGCGGGACCACCCGCAGCGCTGCATCCTGACCTGTGTCCTGTACGGTCCCCGTCTCCCCGTCTGCGCGCGTGTCCGCGGCACTCCCTGATATATATATATATATATATATATGTTTATATGTGTATATGAATATATGTATACATACACATAGAATGCGCACATATAGAAGCATACACACATGAATGCACGTGCTGCGCCTCGACGGTGCGCGCGAAGCCGAGACCGCCAACAAGTGTGTGTGTGTGTGTGTGTGTGGCCCTGCGCACCTCCTATGGTGTCGGAAAATGCCACGCCTGCTATGCCCTGGACGACCGTCTCGGATAGCGGCCGCTCTCAGGGACCACCCCCTGCGCACCTCCCATGGTGCCGGAAAGTGCCACGCCTGCCATGCCCTGGACGACCGTCTCGGCTAGCGGCCGCGCTCCTCGGAGGCTGCGCGCCTCTTGCTCCTATCGGCTGACAGCTTCAGCCCAGGCCTTTCACTACCGACCAAACCACCCCAACCCAACCCGAAGGCCTCAATTTGCCCTCCATTTCCAGTGGGGGGGGGGGTCGGGGAACGTCGGAAAAACACATATGGAACCCGTATCCCCCCCAACCTGAAATTCGGGTCTTCGGGTTGGGTTGGGGTGGTCTGGCAGATAGTCAGCCTTGGAGGCGACCTCCTGATCCTGTGAAGGTCGGGCGGGCGGGACGGCTCGGCGGCTCCTGCTGGGCACCCAATGGATGCGCGGTGGCAGAGGCGCGGGCCGCGTGAGCACCCGCTCCCGGGCCTCGATGGGTTGCATGGCCAGGCGCAGCCCCACCGGCTTGTGCGGGGCCGAGGGCCAATCCTCATCCTCCAGTACATGGACATTCTATTCGAACCCTGTGGCCCAAGATGCCCCCCCCAGACCCCCCGACATTAGTATTGACGGCGTGGCGACGGGGGGGGCGTGAGTGGACAGAAATATTCGAACCCCAAAGCACCGCCTTTACTGAGATCAACATTGATGTAGGGGGCGCGGGGGTGATTTAGAATCTCCCTCGAATGTGTAAGGGTTCTATTGTTCTATTGTCCATGTACGGTCCCACACGCGGACGAGCCTCTTCTCCAGCGCCGCGTCCACCAAGAAGTAATCGACGGCGTTGCCGACCGCGCCGCTGCGGCATGTCCCCAGCTCCGACGTCGAGTGCACGATGAGAGCGCCCGAGGCCTGGACGCTGGGACTACGCCTAAGTCGGGCGTGTCCCTCTGCAGGGGGGATATTCAAAAATCGTAAAAAATAGTCGGGGGACTAATGTTTGAACATTCTTTGCCAATTTTTGGGCCTTTTTGGTGTATTTTTCATTTTTCGTCGAAAATCCCCCTGTAGGGGGACAGGCCCGACTTCAGACTGCGCTGGAGCTCCACAGGGCGCCTGCTGGAAATCGCCTCCCAGCACCCGCGGCAGCCCGGTCCGGTGCAGGCGGCCCGGCACGTGGCGCAGCAGGCGCTCGTGGCGCCCGCCGAGGCCCTCGCCCGTCCACGAAGAGACGCTGGCGACCCCGCCCATGGCGACCCACGCCACGGCGGCGCGCCCTCGACCCGCGGCCGGGGGGCTATAGCCCACGAGGAGGCGCCCGCCACGCGCGCCGGGCCGATGTGCTTCGGCGCCGCAGTGGCCACGCCAGCCGCAGTGGCCCACCTCCTGGCAGCCGGCCTGGGTGGCCACCGCTGACGCGGGCGCCAGCCGCCAGCGCTCGCCCGCCAACGACCTCTGGACCGTCGCGAGGGCGTCGCCCCGCAGGTTGGTCTCCTGCAGCGCGGAACAGCACTGTTTCGTCGCGGCGCCCTCCGGCAGACGCGTGCGGGGAGTGCCCCAGCCTGAGCCGTTGAAGGTCCAGATTTCGAGGTCGCCGCACTTGTTGTTGCCCCGCGCTCTGGCCGATCGCCGGAGCATGGGCCGCCGTCGCGGGTCCTGCAGCACCGCGGCGAACCCCGTCCAGTGCTCCATCGCTCGGCCGCCAGGGGGCCGCAGCTGCGTTCCTGGCCGCACCGCCGATGAGCCCACATCGCCAGGCCCATTCACAGCTGCTCGAGGCCCCCCCCCCTCGGAGCACCTGCGGGGGGAGGAGGTTCACGGCTACCTCAGCAAGGGCGCGGACAGCGGAGCCACTAGACGCCTTGGGAGGGGCCGCCCAGTGCGGACCTACCCGGGATGGGACCAGGTCCACTTCCTGCAGCCCCTGGACGACGGCCACGACGGCCACGCGCCAAGGCGAGACGCCGAAGCCCAGCTCGTGGCCTCGCAGCACAAGGTACAGCACGAGGCTACCCGCAGCGCTGGCGCTTGCACAAGTTGGCGAAGGCCTGCTGCTGGAGCTCCAAGTAGCGCTTGTACTTATCAGGCTGCTCAGTGGCGTCTGGCGGCTTGCGCTCCGCCTCCTAGCGGCTGAACCACTGCCTCTCCTCCTCCGTGAGGATGGGGAGGCCGTCCTCGTCGACCGCCATGCTGGCCTCTCCTGCGGCCCCAGGCTGCTGCTGCGCAGGCTGCTCGGGGTGGGCCGGGCCGCCGTGCCCTGGCTGAGCCCCGTCGGCAGGCTGAGCAGGAGGAGCTGCAGCCGCATGCTCCTCCAGCCGAGCCGCCAGCTTCGTGAAGCACGCCGGGAGGTCGAACTCCGATGCGCCGAGCTGGCGACGGAGCTGCTCGGCCTGCACCTTGAGGACGTCCACATCGTTGGCTGCTGCCCGCGGCTCCGCCTCCTTGGCGTCGGTGGCGGTGCGAGCCCGCACCTCGATGGCGTGAGCCCGCGCAGCAGCGTCGGCCTGGAGCGCCTCCTGCTTGCCCGCCGAGGCCTCCTGCAGAGCCTCCTGGCACTTGCGCGCCAGCTCGTCCGCCGCCACCACCGCCTTGGCTGCCTTCTCGGCCTCGGAGTTGGCCTCCCGCAGCTGGGCCGACGTGGGCTTCGCCTTGTCACGGGCGGCTCTGGCAGCCTCGAGCTTCGATTCGATCTCGGCAAGGGCCGCTGCCATGGCGCCCTCCGAGCAGTCGAGCTCCGTCTCCAGCTGCTTCTTCTTGCGCAGCAGCTGCTCGACCTCACTCGAGCCCTTGCCCCACGGGCGCGGCTTCTGTTCCTGGCCAGCCGCATCTGCTGCTCCGTTGGGGGCTGGACCTTGGCCGTTAGTGACTTGTTCTCGGCCTCGAACGTCTTGAGCTTCGCCGTGAGCGAGTGGAGCTTGGCGTCCGCTGACTGCCCGCCCAGTCCGCCTTGTCCGCCCTCGGCCTTCGGCCTCGCCTTGCCACAGGCGCGACACGAGGTACACACAGCCCAGTTCCCGCCCGTGCCACAGCCGCTGCACGTCCACTTGCTCCCGTCGATCGGAGCCGACGCCGGGAGCTGAGGCCAGCCCCTGGCCCCTTTGCCCCCGTTCGACCAGACCACCGGTTGCATCCTCGGCTTGCAACCGCCGCCAGCGCCGCCGCCGCCCGCCATCCGCGCGCCCCCCGCGCCGACACGAGCCCACAACGGGTCTGGAAGCAGTTTGCGAGTAGAGATTTTGGCTCTGCCAAGCATCGCCCTTGGTGCTCACAGCGCCTCGCAGAGACTTGCACCCACCGGGCGGGTGCCATGGCCTTGAGCCGAAATGCCTACGGGTGTGTGTGAGTGTGTGTGGTGTGTGCGTGTGTGCGTTTGTGCGTGTGTGTGTGTGTGTGTGTGTGTGTGCGTGTGTGTGTGTGTGTGCGTGTGCGTGTGCGTGTGTGCGTGCGTGCGTGCGTGCCTGTGTGCGTGCGTGCGTGCGTGCGTGTGTGTGTGTGTGTGTGCGTGTGTGTGTGCGTGTGTGTGTGTGTGTGTGTTTGTGTGGGTAAATGTGTGCGTGCGTGCGTGCGTGTGCGTATGCGTGAGCGTGAGCGTGTGCGTGTGCGTGTGCGTGTACGT